TCAAGAATAAAGCACACTGGTTGATTCTTATCACATCATGTCATCTCCTACCAATGCTGTAGGATCCCAGAGGCATTGCATTCCCTAATCTAGGGAGCACATCCATGGGATCCCCTCAGAAAAGACTTTATGGTACATTTAACCCCTCCACCACAACAAGCAGTGGGAACAGTGGAGATAGACCTGCTTTCTCATACAGAATGGACATTATAAATGCAAGGCAAGAAGTCACAAACACAATTGGTCTTCACCTCTTGTAAGAGCCTCAAAACTCCTGTTATCCTGCAGAGGTAAAAAGAACAGCAAAGAAAAAAAAACATATTCTAATATTCTCATTTGTGTCTCTTCTTATGAAATGGGTGCCTTTCATTACATTTAGATTTGCTCACTTCAGAAACATGTTCAACTGTTGGGAGTGTCAGATATGCTTCATTCGCATTAAGAAACACAGTAGTTCTTAACTCATCTCGCATGCAGCAATTTTTTACTGTATTGAGTCAGAGAAGAAGAGAATCACAGTCAAACACACTGCAGACAAGCACTTCACCAGCAGCGAGACAGCAAGGACAGAAAAGAAAGTGAACTACGCCTGAGTTACCACATATGCTCCAATTAGAGTTAAAAGTCACTACATTTCACAGCAATCAAACACAAGTGCAGCGTACCAAGACCAATGAAAAGGGCATATCCAGGGCCAGTCTCTGTCAGGATTCAGCAAACTGAGCAGAGTTTTACAAGGTCAGTTCTTGTTTGAGAGATAGTTTAAACAAAATCCACAATTAACACTAAGTTACTCCAACCATTCACTGAACTTCCCCCTGAATTTCTTATCACCTGGCATGACATTCCTAGGTGCACCCTGTGTTGAAATAAGCATTTTCCAAAGACTGTCATTGTTAGCTTTTGTCTTCTTTAGAATAAGGTATTTAAACATACAGCTCCTGCTTCCCCAAACAGGTTCTAGACTTCAAAGGTGAACAGTTCTTTTCACTCACTTACCTTACCTGTACAATGCAGAGCTCCCAGATACAACTGCAACCCAAGAAGCACCTCATCTGTCGTCGTCGTCCCCCCCCCCCCAACTCGCACTGTAGCGCAGTTTAAACTGCCATTCAAACCCTGGTTAGTTTTGAAGCAGCTTATTCAACTAAGCAAAACTCTTTTGAGTTTACAGATTATTTCTCTACATTTTATGCATTTGGTCATACTACCCCTCTGGAACCTAAGCATCATCCTGCCATTTAACACATCTTAAAGCTTGTTCCTCAGTTGAAACCCAAAGAGCTCCACAAGTCAGGCCTACAGATGGTCAGCTCTGCCAGAAAATACCTCATTTGTTTTAAACTAGATGCTGCTGCAGACAGTCTAGAAAGTAGGTTATACCTTGTCATTCAAGCAATAAAAGCATGCCTGAACACAAAAACAAGATGAGAAATACACTGTCCTCCTACTTCCCCACAACCCTCCCTTCTCCGTTTCACCCCAACACAGGCACTAGGAAACATCCAGGCAAATTACATGAGTATTCTCAAAGTGGATCTACATCATCTCCCTCTGCAAAAGATAACCTGGTAGTATAAGAAATCTCTGCTAAACAACATCTCTCAATAGCCAAGTTACACTTTGCTTTATTTCATGTTATTAACTTTACTTCTACCTCCTTGGACCACCCTCAGGGATCCTTCTCCATTATGTTCTTCAAATACTTGCAGATAATCATATCTCCCACTTAGACATCATTTAGCCAAGTTTTATGCATTTCTTTTCATCTTCTTTCCCTCATAAATCAATCCCTTCAGCCTCTCCAGCATTCTTGCTGCTCTTCCCTGAATTTCTTCCAAACTACTGACATCTTTCAGCGACTGAGGAACTTCCAATTGCATGTTGTACTCTAGATGTGTTTTTGTAGTCTAAAGGAAGATAATTAAGCCTTTTCAAGAAATATTAATGCTCCAAGCCTGGAATAAACCTACATCAGAGATTATTTTTTTACCCTGGAATGGATAGTAATTATCCCCATTTCACAAGCAGAATAGCAGAGCGAAGTATCTCACTTATTGCTGCACACAAGCAGTGCCAGAATAAGAAACAGATCCATGTTCTGCCATTCCCAGTTGTACTCTGCCAAGTTTCAGCCCACAGACGATGCAAGACAACGTTCCCAGGCTGTGATCCACAGAGAAACACAAGCCATTTCCAAGTGACTATGGAACAACACTTGGGAAGCCCAACAGTTGCCTGGTGAGTGGACACAGTGCTGGAGGCTGTTGGGACCAGTGGGACTAAGAACACCCTACAAAGGCACAATAGTTTGCTATGACCTTAAGTAGTCAAGACACAAGTCTCTGATATATCTACCTTATTTTTACTGCTATATAGAGGTTGGTTACTAAAACCAGCCCTCAGGTATCATAGAATCATGGAATGGTTTGGGTTGGAAGGGACCTTGAACGCTGCCAGGGATGGGGCAGCCACAGCTTCTTGGGGCACCCTATGCCAGCACCTCAGCACCCTCCCAGGGAAGAGCTTCTGCCTCAGAGCTCATCTCAATCTCCCCTCTAGCAGGTCAAAGCCATTCCCCTTGTCCTGTTCCTACAGACCCTTGTCCAAAGCCCCTTTCCAGGTTTCCTGGAGCCCCTTTAGGCACTGGAGCTGCTCTAAGGTTTCCTCTTAAGGAGCCTTCTCTTCTCCAGGCTGAGCAAGCCCAACATATCCCTCAGGCTAACCACCTGAACAATTTATTCCATTCCAGACGTTAAGACTGGTTTTAAATATGAGAGGACTGACCAACTGCCAGGCTAAGGCAATTTAATTCACACGTTTCCTTCCCTTCCCTCCCACTCCCTGATACATTTGGGAAGGAATCATGGGGAAATAACTTCAGAAAAATTAAAAGAGAGCTCTTCACAAAAGAGTTCTGTAAAAGACCCTGGATAAGGGGAGGCTGAGAATGGGGGGAAGGGAGAGAAAAGGCTGATCACTTGAATTTAAGAAAACAACCAAAAACCCCCCAAACAGGATGCAGACACATTAAAAAAGCAACACTGATCTAACAAAGGAATGTGAACTACAGTTGACTTAAACAGCATCACAGCAATAGCCCTCCCCCTCCACACAAATCTCTGCAGCTCTTAAAGACACAGGGTTTAGGCCTCTCCAAAGTCTGTGGTTCTTTCCCCTGCTAGCCACACATTGGTTGACACTCTTAGCTTTAGCTAATTTAAGTTATTGCCTTTTCTTTCCAGACAACAGGAGTGCCCAAGTTTGACCAGACTCCAGCAAAGCAAACTAACTGTATTATTCTGCCAGCCTTCGAGAGGTATTAAATTCTAGCATTCTGCTACATACTCTTCTCATTGAAAGAATAAACTAAAAAGGCTTCTCTGTTTCATGGTCTGCTGTTAAACATCAGAAGAGTATAACCAAGATTAGATAACAAACACCTCTGTGAAAGGTATCATTTCTTCCCACTAACTCAATATCCAGAGCAAGAAGCTATCTTCCAAGTTAGTGTATGATTTTCTTAACGTGACTGCTGGTTTGCAATTACAGCTCCTGCTTACAGGTGACAGTCTCCTTACAAGGCTTCTCCCCATCCCATGAAGAACCATTTCCTCCATCCACGATGTGAAAATGGCAACATAAATGCCATCCCTCCCATTGTCCTTTCATCATATTTTTACCTCCGGGAGAGAAAAGCTACTAAGAACACTATATTTTTAAGCAAGATAGCATCTTGACTTTCAGCTTGAACCCTTTTCAGCTGTAAGGTCACTACACATCATTTCACCACCCACCAAAAGCAGCCTATTCTCAGTAAATGCTTAAAAGCTTTTCTGTGCTAGAAAATGCAAAACATACGTGTACCTGGTGAAACCTCTTGCTTTACACATGCACTGTGATTGCTAATTAGGCTCCCCTATTTGCAAAGTCTACCAAAACTGAGATAGAACACAGGAGGGGTTTTGTCCAGTCCAAAATTCTTATCTTGTGATAGGAAGAAAGAAAATTTGCTGAGGGTCAAAATTAATACTCTTGCATCAAGCCTTAAATCAAATGTAAAACAGCCCATCTTCAGCAAGAAATCAGGAAACCTAAGGCTTCTCTGTAGACCAGTCACTATGCGATGGTTTGCTGTCACAGAACATCACAATTTCTTTCCTTTACTGGTACAACAGAAGTAATCTCTCTAAAGAGGGTGGAGGATTAACTAGTGACAAGTCGGCTGGAGACACTACAGAAATACAGAAGTACTCCTAAGTATCCTTAAACTCTTATCCCACAATCTTGAGTTAAATGCAGCACCTATTCACAAGCACCTTTTGAAAAGGCTCAGAACAACTTTCCTACCTCAAAAGAAGGAGAAAACCAACCACAATAGTGACACTTTTAAACTCCAGCACCCATCGTTCCACATGCTCTAACCCAAAAAGGCATAAATCCCTGCTGTAATTCACAGAGGATGAAAAATATGGTAATATATAATATCATAAAACCAGGAGACACAAGCAATAAAAAAAACCTCTCAAGATCTCCAAAGACTCATTTATCAAGCAGTTTTTGCTTGAAGGCAAGTTCGATAATAACATGCAGAACAGAGCCAATTTAAGGCACTTACATCCACTACACCATATTGAATAAGTAGCTACAGGTAAAAATGGTTGCAGGTTGGCTTTCCTTTCTTTGTTCAGAAGGGCTTTGGTGCAAACCATACTGGTATTGAGAGGAGAGATTTCCACAAACCATTTCTATGGTATTGACACTTTAGAAGTCATTTTGAGACCCGAGTTCATTGACATAAAAGATGTGGCTTCAGGCCACCCAGTCTCACAGCCACCATCACTCAATTAGAAGAGGTACAATCCACCAAATCAATGGTTCAACTGGGTCTGAGCTCATTTCAAAACTTTAGGAGCCTGGTGGTAACATTCAGACTTGCAATATGGAAAGATCCTCTGCACTTGACACTGATCAGCATTTGTCAGCTGACAAGCACCTACCTGGGATTCGAATTTTAAACTTGCCACTTTGTCCAAAGCCACCGTCTATTATCCCATCCTCTCCAGTGGACAGCTTCACTTTCAGACCCACGAAGATCTGGATGTTTGTTTCCTTTTTAAACAAGGAACGGCCAATCACACTGTAATCATCCATCACCTGCAAGAGAAACAGGGCTTCATGAGCGAAGTGATAAGAACAATTATACCTCTTAGGTACACCCAGCTCAGTGACTTCCAGCACCCTGCCCTTGGAAAACCATTTACCTCCAAATGAATAGAATTCTGGAAGAGTTACCAGAAATGCTGAGTTTAAGACAACTTGTATCTAAAACCATAGAAGACTTCGTGAGTTAATATATTTCTGCTTTCACCTCCTTTCTTAACATCTAGGAAGAACAAAAACCTGCATCAGAACATGCCGTAAAGATCAGTTAATTAAAATGTCTCTTCTGCTTTGAAACCTTTAAATGGAAGTCACTGAAGTACCTGTGCTCACAAAAAGTTTATTCCACTACTTATCCCACAGCCAAGTACATTATCACCTACACAAATGTTCTGTTTCTTAGCTCCAGACCTGCCCTCCAACAGCTACACTTCTGAAAACATGCCCGAATTACTCTGAGTTTCTAAACAGAGCCTTTTAATATTCACCTTTACACACACATGGATTTGTGAAACTAAAAGCCTTATGACCATTGTGTGCAATTTTAATTTCAAGGTTTGTAACCCAGTGGGAAGAGCCATTCCAAGTCCAATTGTTAATTAAGCTATCAGGAACAAGAGGCAGCAAGACTGGGGGGTGAGGAGAGATAACCAACCCTCCCTCAGGCATTGCGAAGGGTAAGGTGCACTCAAGTGAGCCTAATCCCATAGGTGTGAATATCCTTGTCTACCTCATGCCTGGCCTTACTCTATCTCATGGTTGTGGCAAGAATATTTATTTATCAGAAGAAATAAGGGGATATTGCTTAAATATTTTCAAGATGATTTTTTGTGTGTGTGTGTTTCAGCTCTTCACATCTTCAGAGCAAATTTTAGGTAAACCTAAGGTTTTCAAAGACCGAAGTGACTTAGAAAAGTAAAGAATTATAACCACTTTTGAACACTCACCTTTAGTCATTTAAATAAGGACTCAAGGTATTGCTGTTTATTAAGCTACTCTCCTTCCCTGAAGCCTCCTCAACACACAGCAGTGCACATCCAGACTGAAATCCCTAGCGCCATTTATGGTGGTGTTATGCGTATGTGCCTTTTAATGCCAATCTCAGTATGGCAGTAAATCTAGCATCAGAAATTCCATTTTTTGTTTTATTTTAAATGGGCTTTACTTGCCCTTGAGAGGGCTATGCAGTATTAGGGAGCACTGGCAGTACCTCATCCTGTGTCACACACCCCAGGCAGGATGAGAAATGGCTACAGCCCCTCTTCCTCCTCCATGGGGAGATGACCAGAGCCCAGGCACCTCCACTCCTGTTGGGTGCAGAGTCCAGGCTGCAGGCAGCAGCATTCCAATGTCCCAATAACATTTGCTGCTGGATCATCCATTCACCTGTTCCCAAAAGTCTGTGTTTCTGGGTTTTGATGCATCTGTCCTCTTCCCCTCAACAAGCACTGTTTCAAAACACCTTGTGAGCCATTAAAGGAAGCATCACTGCTCAGCAACCTCTAGCTTGTATTTAAAACTGAACAATGTCTTTTACTAGAGTCACTGATAACGGGTGGTGGTAGAGGAGGAAGATAAGCTGTCAGGCACACTTGCCTTTCTTCAGGTCTGAGATAGAAGATTAGTGGCAAAAGCAGCTGTTAATTCCAACCTGCAGAAGCACTTGCATTCTTTAAAACCTTCTTTATTTTTCCAGTTGCATTATCTGCTGAAATAAAAATATTACTTCTTCCTACAAGTCTTTTATTCCTAAAACAAGAATGCCAAAACTGAACATTTGTCTCCTTCCCCCTGTGGTTGAAGCACACTCTGTCTCCTACCCTCCAAGGAGGATCTTTCATGTATCTTGTTTTTGTAGTTATCCCCCCAAAATGGCACAGGAAGCCAACTTTCAAGACAACACAAACATGTTTTATTTTTCCAAGAGCACTTCAAAGTATCTTTAACTTAATTAAAAGGGAATTACAGGGTGAGCACTCATACCAGGCTCGATGGGTCAGTTCAGAGCCTCCCCAGCAAGGCTGTCGGAAAGAACTTGCGATGAGTTCTGTGAACAAGCGTTACACTCATCATGTACCTTTGGAATAAAACCTTTATGACCCAAAGTCCTAGACTTGTACACTAAATACTACACTTCATACACTACGTACTACATATCCCATCCTGTGTCCCCCAGCCACCCTAGCACCAAGTTCACCCCTGAAGACTAAATAAGAGGATGCCTGCTGTAACAAGAACTGAGATAACTGATCGGTTTCTGCAATAATGCAAACGGGTGAAGGGGAGATAATTGCTACAAAGGAAATCTCATTTTCTCAACTTTAAGACCCTGCGAGAAAACTAAAAGAAAAATCAAAGTTTTTTGGTTTAGTCCTGCTTTATAAGCAGGCACAGAAGTGTGTGTTGTGCTCTCCAACTGAAACTCAACACTTTCAATTACTTTACCAGCAATTTACCTCCAATCGCTGGGGTTTAAGTTAATCCCCTTTGAGTTCTCAGAACATCTACAATGGCAATCACTTTGCCTATTAGCTGAACAGCCTTTTGGGAGATCTTTCTGCTTTCCTCTCACTCTTTTTTGTTATAAAATATTATTAACTTAAGAAGCCAAGTGCTGCAGCGGCAGGAAGGGATCCGCAGCCTGCGCTGCAGCGGCAGCAAGGGGCCCAGCGACCAGGGCAGACTAATTTTATTAACTTCAGGGAAACTTCAAAAAGCTTTAGGGCTTTAATGCCAGACAGAGACGACCCCAAAAGTCAGTTTAAGTGCTGCATAAACAAAGGATTAGGGCAAGCAAAAGCTGAAGGCTCCTTGCATTTCTTGTTTATACTGTCAGAGGAGCAGGCGGGCTGGGAGAGCGCTGCCTCCCTGCTCTAATCCCCGCAGTGTACAGTGGCGGTTCAGTTCACTGACCTACATTACCATAATATTTTCTTAAATTTATGGGCAGAGGTGCTGCATCAAACTCACTTAAGGACTCTAAAAAAAGAAGGAAGGAGGGGAGAAATACCCAGAAGAGAAAAATTGTGCTGGTACAGCCTCCCCCTCTCCCTTAGGTTAGATCAGCAGCTTAGAAAGGGATTTCAAGTTCAAAGGGAACATCTCTGTTACTCTTGTTTTATGGCTTAGACCAGAGGACACAATAGCACTGAGTTTATGAAATATCCCTTCCCACTCGGCTTTTGTGTTTGCAGGGAAAAAGTAAACAGCCCTTTCTAACCACAGATGAAGCACGAGCATCCCCACAGCACTTCTGCTAATACCAACAAGTTCACAGAGAACATTAACCCACTTCACACTCCCCATCTAAGCAGCACTTACACCACTGTATATTGTTTGTAAAACCACAGTTAACATTACACTCAGTGCAAACCATAGTATAATTCCAAGGAAAATAACTGTGATTTCCCTTTGAGCAGGGACACAAGCTGTACGGCACAGCCTGTTAAACCACCCTGGTTGATAAGATAACTCAGAAATCACTGTCAGCTGAACACCCCCCAACAACCCTTCACACATCTTGAGAGCAAGTAACTCAACATCCTAACGTATCTGTAAGGAAAAAAACCCAAAAGGTGGGGATCAGATCAGAAACACACAGGAGGAACCAAAGTGGTGCCAGAATGAGAAGGGAAATAAGGAACGGTTCAAGACAGAGAAAGCAACAGCACTGAATATTAAATACTAGAAAGAGGCACAGAGATACAAAGAATAACCTTTTCTGTTTTAATCTAAATTTAATGGATTTAAATAGAAATAAAGCATTTTTTTTAAAAAAGGATAAAAACAGGTCTGAGGATTATTTTCAAACTGTTAAATGAAGTCAAAGCAGAAAACAACAGGAGGGGAAAAAAAGCACCAAAAAACCCTCTGACTAACACTGAAAACACAAAGAATTTTTATTGCATTTTTGTACTTTAGGACAAGTACACTTGAGACATCTTCATCATGATCCCTGAACAGCTCATTTATTTCTAGAGAACAGTTCCGAGCACTTTCCATTTCTGTGTCTGAAATGGGAATATTCTGGAGGCTGCAAATTCCTGTTCCTTTTTTAAAATACAGCTTCATGTAACTGAGAAAGTGACAGGACACAAGGATACAAAAAGTTGAAGGAGAAAAGAACCGAGAGGGACAAAGAACAGGGGCTTACAAAGTCCTCACTGGAAATCAAGCAGGAGACAAGGACAAGCTTGCAGAGAGCTGCCTCTTGGAATGGACTCACATTCCCTTCTGAAGGCACCACATGGATGTACAAACATCCCAAGGCTGTCCCTTCCCCACGTCATCTCCAGCTCTAGCGTGGGGATCCTCTGCCCAAAGGCCAACAGTCCATCATCTCCCTTGGGTTATAGTCTCCTTCTGCTGTTTGGTTAACAAGGTCCATTAATATCAAGCAATACTTGTCTGTGCCATGCTGCCACACAACTCAAATCCTAGTGAAGGTGCGCAGGAGAGGGATGGTCACAGTTCAGTAATATGTAGATTTGAGTTTTACTTCACTTTTTTACTTTCAAAATGCTGAGGAAATTACATTTATATAAAACCTCAGTTATTTAAGTTGCAGAATTGGGCACTTAAGAAGTTAAGAAATGCCAGATGTCTACAGAACCTTATTCCTGTCCCTCTTTGATATGCCCCATGATACACTCTTTACATGACCACATCCAAAACAATTTCACAGGAACCCTGCCTTATTAAGTGCACAGGGGAACAGAATTAATGTTGCATAGGCAACTGTAAATCTGGCATTTCCTAACTTCCAAGTGCTTGATTTTGCAACCTAAGTAACATTCTTAATTTATTTTTGTATCCAATAAATAAAATGGAACACTGGTTGCCTAGCTGACAAACCGATTCCCCCACAGGTGACTCTTGCACAACCTCAGAAAAATCAAGACCAGCTGTCCATACACTTGCAAAAGCATGGCTACATTTTAAATTTAATAATATAAATAACAACTGTAGGTGTTACTCAAACCTTGCAAAATTCTACTGGCCAGTCACATGCAGCAAGCCGTTTTGTTGGTGAGTGAACAAAATACTCATCTCTTCATATGAGTGTGCAGTAGATTCTGTGCTTGGCCAGTGCACTTTATGACAAATATATTCTATTGCATTAATCCATACGCTGCATCAGACAGCAAACATCCCCCTTCTTTTCTCAGCACCGGTATTTGTTTAATAAGCACACAGCCCTCCCTCCTCCTTCCCCTTTCCTCCACTAAGCTTCTCAAACCCTTTTACTCAAAACCTAAACAAGAGCCAATAAATAAATGCATCTTTTATATTCCTGCTTTACAGTGCATTTTAACTAGTGAATGTGCTGTGCACTTTTATTCACCTGAGTGCCTTCATCCCTGTATTATGACTGTATTTAGCATACCATCAGCAGCCAGGCAGAACCAAACAAACTCATGTGCAGACTTCAAAGCAGGGAAAATATTAATTGTGGCGTCTGCATGTTTACAGTGGATGGAGCAACATCCACCTCGGCCCTGCTGCGGTCACCGCAGGTAGCCAGCTACTGCAGTGCCTGCAGGCAGCACACAGCTTTCACTGGGCAACTTGGTCCTGTTACTCACCTTGTGCCCGGGTTTGTCCACACACCGTGTCAGTCACACAGAAAGCATCACTGCCTGGCTGAGGCTGTGTTTTACTTGCTATCCTGCTGGCATTACAGTGCCACTATAAGAACAGCAGACAAACCATCAGCCCCAGCAAGGCAATGAAACATCCTTTATCTATACGCAAGTTAGATGAAAGAATCAGCAGCCCTGAGGAGAACGACTTGGGGGTTTTGGGTGATGAGAAGCTCCCCGTAACCCAGCAGTGTGTACTTGCTTTTGCTCTTCCATTCAGGCTTCAGAAGAAATGCACCGATAAAAACCTTGATAACTTACCCTGCTTTCCCATCTTGCTCCTGCAACAATACTTTCCTTTGGGGATACTTAGTACCAAAATTCAAACAACCAGTCAAATGTTGTTATTAAGCACTAAGTGACTCTTCCATCCTGCCAAACCTAAGCGTGTCACCTACATGATGGCCTCGGTCCCCATGGGAGCAAGTGCAGTAAGAAAACTCACTATTCAGCAACCCACAAAACTTGGGAACAGAACGGATGCGAGATATGGAAGGAAACTGATGAAGAAACAAGCGCAGTGTGATTGCCATCAAGTAAGTAAAGCCTAAGAGCAAGGCAAATAATAAGAAAAATACATTAAAAACTTTTAAATACACAGAGAAAATGAATTCTTCTTAATGTCAAAGGAACATAGAGAAAGCATCTTTAGGAAGGACAAACCCATTCTCATAGGAAAACATTCTGCTATGCTTAAAATGGGAAACAATCACAGCCGAGACTTGCGTATATTTTTCGCCATACAGGCTTGTAAGTGCAGAAGGTGCAGCCTGTGCTATGCAAGCAAGACAGAGGGTTTTCCTTCTCCTTTTGTTTCTGACAGAACTACTGATTTACGAGCATCCTCAACAATAGGACCCAGTGGCAACCATCCTAAGATAAATCCTGCTGGTGCAAACACTTTCATAACAGGCAGAATATCTGAGTCACACAGGAAAGCATGATGCACTTCTACTGTTCACCTTGCAGCTGAAACTCTCTGCTCTCAACCTGTGCGTCCGCAGATGCCAAAGAGCAAATAATGTGACAAACAGAAAGAATTTATCCCAGGAACTGAGTAACTGCTTCATGAGTCAGGCTGGAATCAACCTGCAATGCTGTGCAGAGGTAAAACCAAGAGGAAGGTATTTCAGAGGTGGTGTTGGGATGAATACAAGTGTCTCTGCCCACAGAACTGCCAAGAGCTGACTGGTGAGCTTGGGGTCTCCAGAAAGACAAGGTCAAGGACAGCAGTTGCTGTTTATCTTCATAATCTGCATGTCTCCAGGTCCAGGGGCTGCTGACCTACTGTAGCTGAGCAAACCCACATTCACCCCCACCACACTCTGCCACTTCAGAGGGACGAACCTTCTTCACAGCATCTCATTTGCCCCTTTTTTCACAGACTTCACATGGCACTCCTTGAAGCAACACTGGTGCTCACAATAGCACTCTCAGTCCTGCCTTTACCCTGTTATCAGTACAAGCCACTTGTTGCCAGCCTGGCTCTTTTTCCTATCAAAAGCACATTTGTCAGGCAGCCAAGGCTCTGCAAAAATAAAATGTCCAGAGGGCGACAGTCTCTGCCTCCATGTAACCACACCAGAAAGATGCTCTTGACAGAAACTTCCTTCCACTGAACTTCTCCCCCTTCTCTGCAGGAGAAAACTGGACTTGTATTTCACATCATGTTAAAATCATCAAGTCAAGCAAACACAAACCTGTGCCTCTGAGTGCTGAAGGAATGGCAGATTTTTATTTTCCTTACAATTAACCCCTAAAAGACTTACTCTAACCACAAATCAAATCTGGTCTGCAGTAAAACAGGAGCAGTCACACACTTACAACAGTTCAAAAAACAGAGAAAAATCATAACTGCAGTTTGAATCATGAAGCTTTTCCAAAGTCAAGCTGCAATCCCAGCATGGTTAGAAGCAGGTTTCCTGCACTATGCAGCACCTCAGACAACACTGACTTCCCCCAAAGAGCAATGATATATAATTTAAAGCCGAATTTCTCAGGTACTACAATAACACATCCCTAAAGAAAAAATTAAAGATCAGCAGATAAATAAGCAAGGCTGTGAAAGGAGGCTCAGGGTAAATTCAAAGTTTCTGGTGAACAGCAACAGACAGGCTTTGGTTCTTTCTCTCCTAGTGCTTCACTCTACCTTAGAGCCAGGGTACCAAAATGAAACAGTGAGCAGCACAAAAAGCAGCAAAAGGGTACCTGAATTTTTGTAGAACATTCACCATCACTTGAGTAGATGAGAGAGCCAAGGAAGTTTAAGTTTGAATTCTCACTAAAATCTACTAATTCAAGACAGTTTGTGAGTTTAAATGTGATTTATAAAAGATGGTGTTTACCCAGTTCATGGATCTGATTTCTATGTGAAACAGCAAAACTGTCACACTTGCTCTTAGAGAGCCAAAAAATCTTTGAGAATGTTTTTCTTTTATTAAAAAAACCCCAAACAAACACCAAAAATATCACCCAAAACCCATAAAAAACCCACCCCCAAACCACCAACTTAAAATCCAGAAGGGTGCTGTGCCCAAGGGGCCCAAAAGAAAAGCCCCATGATGCTGAAACTTAATGAATTTACAGTTCTTACTATTCCATCAGTGCTCTGAAATTAATCAGAGCACGAACAAAAAGCCAAACCATAAATGCCTGATTTCTCCTGGGTAAATGGGTAGTTAAACTACAGGGAATTGATTCTAATTCCAGCAGCAGGCAGGGGGAGAGCCCCCATCACATCAGCATTTTACAAAGGGGCACTAGTGAGCCCCCATGCACCCCAGTCCTGGATGCACACTTCCAGCTGGTGCTGAGCCCGGAAAGGGGGCTGGTACAGCCCCTGCCTCCCTCACGGCCTTTCAGGATGCTCTGGAGCTCATTTTCCCCAGCAGCATTCTCTGGAGGAAAAGTTTGCTCCTTGTGGAGGTAAACCTGCATTTTTTAGTTATTATTATGATTTTTATGCCTCCCCAGGGAGGGTGAGGAGGGGGGAGCTTCCTTGCTCAACAGAGAAAGAAATTTTCCTGCATCATTGCCAAGAACAGACACCCTAAATTGAGTGATCCTAATCTCCAGCCATCAGCAGCAGGGTGGGACCAGCTGATTCAGACTTTCTGTTAGCTAGTGACTTTGTGTACTAAAATAAGGCACTGTACCACCCAACGGTTCCTGCTGCTCGCTGCTCTGCAAGAGCACAGGCTCAATAGCAGCTCCCGACTGGAAGTACTTCCCCAGCTGGCACAACCCTCTTCCCACTGGCTCTCCCAAGTCTCTGCATGCCTCCATGACTTCACACTGCCAGGGTTTCTTAGGACACTTGCTCCACCATCCTTTCATCAGGCATCAGGGAAACTACCAACTCTGAGTATCTACAGTGCCATGGGAGGCAGAACCCAAAAACAAACCTGACCTGCAGACAGACTAGTAGATAGCAACTGGTCATTCATGAGGCCAATTTGTATTCATGGAGTGTGTCCAGCTCTGGGGCCCCCAACACAAGAGGGACGTGGAGCTGTCAGAGTGAGTCCAGAGAACGTTCCTCCTGCTACACCAGGCTGCTCCAAGCCCCTGTGTCCAACCTGGCCTTGAACACTGCCAGGGATGGGGCAGCCACAGCTTCTCTGGGCACCCTGTGCCAGCGCCTCAGCACCCTCACAGGGAAGAACTTATATTTAATCTAAATCTCCTGTTTAAGTTTTAACCCATTCCACTTATACTATCACTACAGTCCCTGTTAAATAGTCTCTCCAGCATCCTTGCAGGCCCCTTTCACACAGTCTTTACATTCCAGTGTCCACCAAGATATGTATTTACACAGAATATTCCCTCTCCCCATGTATAGCAGTGAAAAGGCAGCTTACCCTTTCCACTTGTCCTTCTTTGTGCTTCAGCTTGTACACTTTCAGCTTTGGCAGGAAAGTCTCTATGTAGTTCTTGTCTTCCATACCTTGGAGCAGCACTCCATGGAACGCCAGCCTGCAGGTATTTGCGTGGATATCTGTATCCAGCTTGGAGCCAATCACAAGGCACAGTTTAGGACAAGTGACTGGTTTTTCAAACTCTAGCAAAGCCCACTGATGTCTTGGGAGCTGGACTCCTCCTGCCTGGTCATTCTCTTTGTTCTCTGACGTATTTGAGTCCTTGGACAAATATGCCTCTTGGTAAAGATAATCTTTTTCAAAATCAAAAGCATTTTCTTGAATTTCTTCATTGAAGTCAGCAGGGGCTGGACTGAAAAACATCACTCGTCCCATAACTGTTTCATGGCCAACCGTGATATGGAACTTGGCCTTGGTCTGCAGAGCGCCTCGAAAATACTGGATTTTCTTCAGAGAAATGATTGCAGCATGGATGGTGTGAAGTGACTCTGGGGTGCAGATCAGGCCTCGTTCTAGCAGTTTGGGATCAAACTGGGTTACACAGATGCCTACTCTGTCACCCTGCATAGCATAATTCACAGGAGTATGGAACATCTGCATGGACTTGACTTTCTTTGTCACCTATTGAAAGAGCAAGAAAAAGCCATTAATTACTATCTCTTAGTCTATGACATTCCATATATTTAATGAAATCAAATCTTTGCAAGAAAGCTTTGAGGAATTTTCATCAATTTAGCGATAACATCACTGTCACCAACGTGGAGTTCCACCTCTTTGGATTATTGTGAAGAGAAAGATACTGCCTTACTCAACCTACTGAAGATCAGCCCTTAGTGCAGACCTGTCCAGTACCTTGCAGACAATTTAATCATCCCATCAATATTTGTCCTAAATGCAAACAGTTCTTCCCCTTATATTCATGGAATTTATTCTTCTGAAGTTCCCACAGAGCACAGGAGAGCAGGAGGAAATGAGACCACCATATTCAAGCCCATTCCTTTTTTCCTACATGTCCTCAGTACCAGAATTGATTGTAAAAGCAGTATACAGAACAGAATTGGCAAGGGGGGGCAGGACAGGATTAGATCATACAAGAACTGAGTTGGAATTGCATCTCCTTCAAAAGGTCAGACATGGAACCAGCAGAGAAGTGAATCAGTGAGTTGATCTGTACCCACTGGATCAAGTAACAAGAGCCAGAGTAGCTTTAAATCACCAGCTTCCTGTTTTCTGAGCAGCCCATGAACACCAGTACAGTATTTCATTCCATTTCACTCTGACCCCAGCTGACAGAGACATTTGTCCATGGTTTAAAATACTCCAAATGTAGAGTTTTCTTCAAGAGGCTCAAAATTAAAATTCATCTTTTTTTGTCTGGCTTTTAAAATACAACCCTGGAAGCACTGAAAGGGATACAACTGGCCCTCAGCATTAGATTTGTTTCTCCTCTGCGTATCTCGTTTCCCCATGTAAGGGGTCCCCACGAGTTACACCACAGCTCTAAACATCCACGTATTTTCTGTATCTTCGTAGCAATACAAATTTCCAGTAGGGAGCTGGGGCTGGATCACTAAGTCCACCAACAGAATGACCTGAACCACTTCAGAGCATTCTGCCCTGAGCAATAGGAGTTCATAACTGAACAGCTACAAGCAACACCTTCAACATCTTTGCATTTATTCTGAGCACCCAATTTTGGTCCTCAAAATCCTGCTTGTAAAGCAACTTCTGTCTCATCCTGTCCATGAAAATAGTGCAAGGCCTATTTTAGCGATCCACTAGAGATATTTTACTCTTCTTTAGGAGAATTAGGCGCTTAAAAACAGAAAGAAAGTGAACAATACTGAGTGTAATAAGAGTTTGTGTGCAAACAATGGCTGTAAACATGGAAAACCAGTATAAAACTTGCTACAAACTTCACTAAAATTCACTCACATTTTGATCCCTAATAATGGCACAAAGGAATTCATCATATCAATATAGACCCATGTGTTGAAATCTTACATCATTTGCAAAGGGATTTGCTTCACTGTTCAAATTTTATTTGTATAATCACATCAATGTTCCTAAAGCATTAGGTAAAGGTCTATAAAAAGGGTGAAAAAGAAGTCCATGTTTTTCAAAAGCAGATTAAAAAAAATGCAAACCAGAAATCAAAAGCACCCAAACAGTTCAGCCCTTGAGATAAACAAGTGTGTCCAATATAAGACAAGAACCCAGTTTTTGAAGACCAAAAGACAAGCCCACTAAGATTTTCAAAGCAGTTAAGTACAGACTAATAGAAAACAGGATACAGAAAAAGTCCACTAATGACTTTTCCCCCTGATATGTCAGAGCTTCTTTTCCTTTATTTATCCAACTTCCATTAAGTTATCAACCATATGCCATTGCTCAAAGCTTCTTTAGATAAGAACCTAGTCATCCTGCTGGTTCCCAATGCTGCAAGTGCATCTTTCCGATATGAAAGACACATCAGCCTTATTTCCCTGTACCACTGACAAGGAACTCCATGTTAAAATAATTAGTCTCAATAATCTGTTAGAGAAAATACTGATTATAAATTCAGTATTTGTAAAAGAAGTATTACAGATCTATTACAAAAAGTCTCCACCACGAACAGAGACTCCAACCAGTTTAAAACAAAGATCATATCTCAGAGTCTGGCTGCCAAGAGCAGCATCTTTAAACTTACATCCAGGAAGGATGAGGAACTGATGAATGAAGAAAGCATCATTTCAGCCCTGAGATTTAGAAACACACCAAGAGCAAGCCTGCCTCAACCAGCACCGAAACAAGAAGAAAAAAACTGGAAAAGCCCCAAAACACAACCTTGAGAGGCATAAACTGACCATACAAGGCAGCAAAGTGCCAAATACAAGAAACCTCACCTTATTTCACCCAGTAGAAGTGCCTCCTTAACAGCTGAAGGAGAAGAGCAAATGAAGGCCCAACCATACAACCAGAACACATCCCATATCCACTGCCTCTGCAAGGACTCCCTTCCTCCCTATTGCTCTGCTACAAACCCAAATACAGAATGAGGCATCTCATCTTCCTGCTTCCAGCATCATCTCTTGGTGGTCAGATGATACCAAGCTACACTGTCAAAAAACACTGCCCGCTTATCTGACAGGTACCACAATTTTTAGTCTTCACCCAAACCCTGTCTAAGCACATCCACAGAAACAAGCAAAGCTCCAATTCAGACCTAAGACTGATCTTACACATAAGCACATCTTTCCAGAAATTCCCTTCTAATTATGAGAAATGACAAATTCTTTGCTTTCCAAGGGATGACCATAGGTAAATAAAGCTGTGTCCTACAGATGAGAAAGCAGCAGTGTGTTTAGTGAAAAAGGCAAACCACCCTTCAGTTTTTGAAAGCAAAAGGCCAATTTTCTTAGATATTTATCACTTCATAACAACTTTCCTCACAGCAAAGCTTCCAATAGCCTCAACCACTTCAACCAATTCTCAGGTCACACCAAACCCCCCCAAATCCAACCCACACCTCATCATTTCCACATGGGAACACTCTGTGAGATGCTACTCAAACTACACTAACATCACAACTCTTCCCATCTACTTTTTGCCACAGAAGGCCATTGGGCTGGTCACGTATGACTTGCCCTTGCAGTATTCCCCAGTAATTACATGTTCTTAAGATGCTCTTTGGCTTCCACGCCTTATGTCTCTTCCTCTACCTGGGATGAGTGGAACACCAAGGGCACCAAGACCCACTGCACGTTTATCTTCTCTCTGCATTGCCTCTTCCAAGTTTGGGTGACCACACACATAAGGGAGGACCACGTCCCCTTTTAGTAGCCAGAAGAGCCTAAGATAGGTAAGGAAGAAATCCTCACACTCCAAGGATGTGTGGAAGGAAGCAGAAGCCAGACATCTACTATATATCCTTTCATCTCCAAGTAACTAAAATATCTCTGGGGTTTCTGTAATTAAAAAAAGGAAACTTAAGACACCAATATCCTTAAACTGAGTGGTACCGCTTGTGCCATCTATCACTACAGATGACAAAGCGCACCTTTTAAAAGCATACTGTAATGCCAATGAGTTTAGCTAGCAAGTATCTAGGCAGAGAATGTCAGACCCATAGTAAAACTATGACATCAAATAAGCTTAACATTTACATTCCAATTAAAATTTCTGCAACTTATCAAAAAATGTTTCAATAAACCATTTTTCAAAGAAAAAAAAAAATCCCAAAAGAAGTCAAAGCCAAGGCAAATGATAGGTTACAGAAAAGCTGTCTGGAATTTTCTGCTTCCAAAAGAATTGAATTCTTTTTTTCCCCAAATAGATTTAGGTTTAGAACAATAATAATACTTTTATCTGAAGACTTCAAAGTCACATACAGAAGAATGTATCACAGTAAACACAGGGTTGAAGGTTTTATAGAAGAATTTCTGCTGGGTTTTTTTCCTCTCCTTCTTTAAGAGAAATTTGTTTACTACCAGCCTTTGAAAAGCATGAAAGGGAGGAAACTATATGGCAAGGAAGTAAAACTTTCACATGTAAGGAACATTTGGAGCTTTGTGAGAAGGCTGGTTTGGGTAGAATGTGCGACATGTAGCCAAATGTGAGTAATATTATATCTCAAATAAAAATCAGCCCATGAATATACATAATCCAAAAGGTAATTCTCCCAATCTCTGAAATGTAATGGAGCCACTCTAGATCACTGAGGCATGAATATTTACCGTATTCAGGCTTTACTGCTCTTGATCTGGGTTCAATTTTGCAAATTAAAATGAAGGCTCTGTGGATAGAGAGATTAAAGAAGAGCATCCCAAAGCCTGCCTGTTTCCTTGGTGTGACAGCAGTGATCTGGTTACCCTTCTGTTAGGTTATTTCTTTTATACTTAATGGAGTAGGTCAAAAGCAATCGAGAATGGAAAGAGGAGGTCATTACTGGGTCACAACCTTGGAGTTAAAGGCTCACTAAAGAAAACAAACATAAAGTGAACATAAAGCTACATTTAAAAATAAAACCTGTAATGAAAAAATAATTTTTCCAGCTCTTTTCACTTCTCTTTTGATAGGTCAGGAGGAAAAACAGGAACAAAGTTCTTTTTTTGCTCCTTTCTTGTGAACATATTTCTCCCATCCCTTCTCAAAAATAAGCTCATTAATAGAAACCATGATTTATACAAAATGAAACAAAGGTGATGAATAATTACCGAGAGATCTGGTAGGCTTCATTTGCTGTGGCAAACGTTAACATTCATCGTGATGATTTGTACATTTTCTAGGAAATACTCAGAACATAAATACAGCAGCACCAGTGCAACGCAGCACACGCAAGTACACCCAACAGTACAAATCAAATGACACGGTACCACTTCAAGTGAATTCCTTGTACTAATTACAACCAAAACAAAGGCTACCTCTGCTCAGAGGAAAGGAGAAGAAAAAAGGAATTCATTACTATCAGCCAACTTTTTAGTTTATGAAATGAAAAATGATTGGGGTATAAAATCTTTGCAGCTTTTCCTTGAGGTAGGGTTTTTTTTAGTGGCAAATAAAAAGTTCAACTGGAGCCATTCCTAAATCAAGTCAGTAACAGAGATTAAGATTAGATGAGTAAATTTATATCCTCTGCA